TTAACTTCAAGAAGCCCACTCTGTCCTGTAAACATTCCCAACATTATTATTTTCCTTTTGGGGCAGATTTATATCTAAATGTTAACAACACACTGGGGTAAATGTTTAGATGGGGCGGAGGAGCTCTAAAGCTGTAGCTTTATCCACTGGAAGGAAATGAATTGGCTAAATATTTAGATCACATCTTATTCCAGCGGATGTCTGTCACCACAGACGATGATTTGTCTCTGTGGTCATGCACATTTTTCAATTAAAAATTACATTTTTATTTTTTGTTAAATTTGTCTTATGGAATTGCAAGTTGTGTTTATTTTCCGGAATGTCTCTATTTGTTTGTGGTTGGGAAATGGTAAACAGCCTTCAAGTATCAGTGATATGATTTAGACTGCAGCCACTTTGCAGTAGAGCCTTTGCAGAGGCTGCTTCGGTATCTTATAGAAGCTTTATTGTTGCTTCTGTTGAGTATGAAGAACCTGTTATATGATGGTACGTAAGGGCTGAAGCACCTGCTTGTTTTCATGTCCTGAACATCAGCAGAATCAGATGCTTAGATCATTAATTAATCAAAAAAGCTGAAGCTTGATTTATCTTAAATGCAGGGTTTTGATTTAGACTTCATCGTGTACATAAAAACTCTATGGGAACGTTTTTTGGAAATCTTTAAATTATCTGTAGACTGTATAAAAAGCTCCAGACTTGGACTGGGGATGTTGTTATCCTATATGACAGAGGCAGACCCTGAAGTCCCAGGGGGAAAGCATCAGCTAGGGTAGTTGAGAAGATTAATGAAGGCAAGGTGCCAGGTTTGGGCGAGATTCATCCTGAGATACTACCAGTGTCTTGGCTGACACACCTCTTTAATGTCACTTGGCCGTATAAGATAGCGTCTGTGGAGTGGCACACTGTGGTGGTGGTGGTGGTGGTTTCCATTTTTAAAAATGGGGACCAGAGGGTGTGCTCTGGTGTATTGCACTGTTCAGCCCCAGAATAGGGGGCTTTGGCCGATCCTTGAACCTTGGATTTGGGTGGAGCAATGAGGATTGTGTCTTGGCCGTTAAACAGTGGACCAGATCTTAACCCTTGCAGGACATCTGGAGGAATCGTGGGAATTTCACTATCCTGTCTGTAGGATCAGGGTTAAATTGTTCTCTGTAAAAGTAAATGTTCAGGACTTCCAGTGAGCAGAAGCAAATGCAGAAAACGGACAAAACTCAGACATGAGCTCACATGAGAAAACGCGAGAGCCTCATCGAGCGAGGTAGACCCTTGGACCTAGAAGTAATCACTGTGTCATCACTCGGCAAGCAGATGGTTTGCTGACTCATTGTTTTAAAGCTTCAGGTGCTGCTGCTTTTTCAAGAATGTTCATCTTGTGCGAGGGCCGCATGACAATTTGTACTCGTATGGCAATCCCAAAGTAGCCACTTTACTCTATATGGGACCATTACATAAATAGTGAACATATTGGCTAATACATGACATAAACCTAGTTAACGAGACCATAAACGTACTGTCGAAATCTTTAGCAAGGTCACACATTAATTAAAGGAACAGTAGGGTCATTGTTTTGCAACTACAGGATTCGTTCCCTTGCTAGGATTGAGAGAAGACAAGTTTAAGGCACCTCCACAGTTTTAACTATCAGCTATGGCCAGCAATTTGTTTGGCATGATTACCTTAAAACATCCTTTGATTACCACAGCTGCTGCTGAATACACATGACATCAGCTGAACTACCAATTGCGTGTGTTCCACCTGTGGATCAGGTAGGCAGCAGAAAATACGGTGATCTGAGGATATAGAGTGAAGAAAACCAAGGAAAAAAACAGAGGATCCTTCTAAAACAAGGGTTTAAAACAGGGCTTGTTACGAACCCCAGGAGGCACGCAGCCATCGCCACGCACAGGTGTTAACAGGTTCCACGTGTGTTTACACTTCATATATTGTTCCACACGTCGCTGCCGCCACAGTGGGCATACGGCTTTCCGGGACGCAGAGGCGGTGGTTCACACATTTCAGATTGTTAACCTTGCAGCAGGAAGGCTGCCCACCTGAGGATGGAGAACATTCAGGAGGCGGCATTTAAGATAAAAAGGGAAGGACGGTGAGATTTTCCGCTGGAAGCTGGCAACAATGTCATGGTGGTGGTTGTACTGGTGGCGGCGCTGGGGGCCGGCTTGAAGTCGTTTCCAAACAAATTGGGGCTCTTTTGATGCGGGCCAGTTGGCCACCTCATTAAATTTGCATGTGAATGCAGACAGCTTGACCGCCTAGCGCTGCACAAAAAGGCCGATGCTAATGACCTCGTACGCCTCGTACTGTGGAAGCTGGAGCTGTGTGTGTGCATGTAATTAATTCCCAATGCTGCCAGATGCACAAAAGGGGAGTCCACTTGCTTATCCTCCTTTAAGGCTTACCTGAGGTGATTCCCTAACCTTCCTGTGGCTACCTGACACCCATGGGTGAGACAGCAAAGTGGGATCAAGCTAAAGAAAACAGCAGTCACATTAGGCAGGCCAGGCAAAGGACATTGTTATTATTACAAGGGTAATAGTCCTGGGGGAGGCCCTGAGCGTGGGCTGAGCCTCGCTAATGCAAGCTGCCGTTAAGTGGTTAGCTGCTAATAGTGTTTTCCTGTCCTCCTAATGGAAAGAAACAAGGGTCAGTGCTCAACACACACTCACACACTTTTTAGCCAAGCGGACCTCCACTTTCAAAATACTTACAGGATGTCTTAATTGCATTGCCGTGGTAACACGAGAGCAATCACAAGGGTGTGAACTTTTCAACCCAAGCTTCTCCTGTCATCCTCCAGCATGACGCACGTGGCGCATAATACCCAGCCTGTTGCAAGTTCCCGTAGCGATCACTGCCACATTTGGACTTTTTAGAAATGTAAATATTCGGCGGGAGTTTAGAAAGTGCTGACCAGCAAGCGAGCCTGAGAGAAACCTGACCTCAGACTTCAAACAAGCTGTCAGAATCCAGCTTTTACCTTTTTTTCAGTTTGTATTCACGTTCTGCAAGAATTGAGCAGAAAAGCAATGCCCTTCTACAGCAGCCCGAATACTTTGTGACAGTGTCATCGCAGTCCCTTCAAAAGGGCTTTTATTCTGAAAGGGCAGGGGTGGAATCCAGTTTGGATTCAGGAGACAGACACTATCTCTACTTTTAAGATTAGGCTTAAAACTTTCCTTTTTGCTAAAGCATATAGTTAGGGCTGGACCAGGTGACCCCGAATCCTCCCTTAGTTATGCTGCAATAGACGTAGGCTGTCGGGGATTCCCATGATGCATTGAGTTTTTCCTTTCCAGTCACCTTTCTCATTCACTATGTGTTAATAGACCTCTCTGCATTGAATCATATCTTCTTCCACAGCATGTCTTCCTTCTCTCACCCCAACCGGTCACAGCAGATGGCCCCGCCCCTCCCCGAGCCTGGTTCTGCCGGATGTTTCTTCCTGTTAAAAGGGAGTTTTTCCTTCCCACTGTCGCCAAAGTGCTTGCTCATAGGGAGTCATATGATTGTTGGGTTTTTCTCTGTATGTATTACTGTACGATCTACTGTACAATATAAAGCACCTTGAGGCGACTGTTGTTGTGATTTGGTGCTATATAAATAAAATTGAAATTGAAATGAATTAAATATACTTATTCAAGTATTGTAAATTACTGGATTTCCATTTTACGCTATCCAGTGCTTCACAAAGACATTAAAAGCGATCTACAAAGACATTTGTGGCAGCCTGTGCTAACTCCTGGCACAGTCAGCAAATTTATAAGAAACTGTATGTGCACGCAAATGTCACATTTCAGTAACATTTAAAACATGTAAAATCTTAAATACACATGCTGTATTTGCATTGCCAGTGGTTGACCTCTTCCATTATGTTCTGCTACATCCTGTTTTCTGAGCATTAAAATCAACTTTTTAAAGTCTGATATTTTCCCCCTCTCATTTGTATGTAACACATCTAAATCACTTTCCTTCCACTAGTTGAGAGTCAGGTTACTTCAATTAGTAAAATGAAAAGAAAAATCACATTTCTCATGTAGTTGCTATATAATGCTTATAGCATACTGTCACAGCTGAAGTGGCTTTTTTGTTGTATCGAGGTCCTTGGTAGAGACTGAAGCCTGGACGGGATCCCTAAAATTAAGTTACTCTCCTTGGCACTCTCCTCTGCTCCTACGGGAACTAATTAGGAAAGTTATTTTAACTTGAAACTTTTAATTTCACTGGCCATTGGGAGATAAAAATATGTACAAGTCAAATCTGGCAACCACTTAAAAACAAGTCTGATCACTGCAGCACAAATGTTTTCAAAAGCCGTTTCACCTCTAGAATTATACTTCTCCCAAAATCTTTGTTATTGTGGACATCTCCCATAGATCGGGCTTCTTTAAGTGCTGCCTCTTTCTTTCTCTCCTATAATGTTTCTGTTCCAAACTAAGAGCTTTGCTGAACGGCACGTTGTAATTTGGGTGAACCAACCTTTTAACAACAAGGAATAACTATTATTGTTTTGGGTTTTTTTTTATAATAATCCTGCAAAGCCAAAGATGAGTTTCCATCCACTGCTTGTCTGTTGTTTCCTACTAAAGACATACGTTTTGACATTTTTGTTTCAGAACAGCTGCACTCTGTAGTTTCAATAAATATCACAAAGAAGAGAAAAGATTTTTGTTAGGGTTAGGCTAACCCATCTTCAGCAGTGAACTGATACACCTTTGGTGCTCTGGTGAGCATTTGCAGCAGCAGGACTAAACGTGTAGGAGTGAGTTTGTGCTTCAATATTGCAATCCCTCCTCACTGATACTCTGCTGAACACAGACGGGGGAACTTGGGTGACTCTTACTGGCATTTAGAGTGGAGTATAGAAAAGAAACAGCTTTACTACTTCCTGTGTGAAGTGTAGCCCATGAGGAGGGAGTTATATGAAGCTGAAAACCTGACCTCTGCTGAGGGTTCAGGAATAACTGAGATAGATAGCATCTCTATGGTAAAACAAGACTTTACTGTTAGCTCCATTAGATACACACACGCACACACACACAGCATAAAGGCCACCCTAGCGCGTGCTTTTAACAAGATCTGATAGTCACTAAAAACTTCACAACAGCCCCAGCAGTGTGTCTGTAAGTTCACGGATGGTACATTTCAAAGCTGTAGCAAAAACAGAAGCGTGAATCGGCAAATAAATAAAAAGTCACTTTTAATGGAAGTTCTTCTTTCACACTCAATCAAGCTTATAGTCTGATCACAGAGAGAGATGTTGGACATTCACCCAGAATAAGACACACGCCGGTCAGTTTTATCAGACAAAAATATATATATTTAGAATCTTTACATTAAGCTTGAATCATGAAACATACACAGAGGAGTGCGCACACCTACAGCCAAACACTGATTTTTTTTATTTTATTTTTTTTTTACTCCTCACACAAGTCATTTTATTTTGTACCCTGGTGTCAGTGTTGAGTTGTTGTCTTAAGCAATGATGTTTGTTTTGTTGCTGTTGTTGTTGTTTTTTACAAATGTGCAAATAAGACAGATTTGGAATCCTTCAGCGCTCAGTGTAAAAATAAAACAGTCCAGGATCCTCGGGAGCGGTGACAGAGCTCTCACTCTACCTCAGCCCTGCCCTCTCAAGTTTAAATACAGCTCCTCGTTGCTTCGCCTTTCATTTTCAAGTAAAGTGCTCCTCTAGCAAAAACCACAAGGCATGAGATCAGTCTCGTATTTTTTCGCTGATGTTTAAAAAAAAAACTAATTGAAAAACAACCCAAAGGACAAAAAATGTGGGAATGTCTTTTTAAAGTACAAAAGAGCCAAAGCCAACAATTGAGAGGCAGTCCTGGCTGTTTCTTGGAGGTGTCAGTCATTCAGTTCCCAGCAGGAACTGGTCATACAAACTCCAGCTTGCCGTGGCCACTGTACATCCCCCAGTGCACCAGAGACAGGATCTTGTCGTTGCCTAGGTCAGCCTGCCTCATCTTGTCGCAGGTCAGACAGCAGTTCTCGTGGCCCGTCACAGGTACCATGCACTCCAGGTCCAGCTTGGCCACGTGTCCCTTCTTGGTGTGGTGGCCGTGGAAGCTGTAATGGAGCCGCGACAGCATCTGCTGCCGCTGGTCCTGCAGCCGCTTGTTCTCGCTGCGCAGCATCCGTAACGCCAGCATGATGAGCAGGACCAGGATGAGGCCGCCAGCGATCGGCACAGCGATCACAGCCGCACGGAACCACACTTCTTTGGCTGAGGTCAGCTCCTGAACCCGGGTCACCAGGTTCCTGTTGTTGCTGTCTGGCTGGTAGCGGCCATCTGCACACACGCATGGAAAAAAATTAAAATAAAAAATCTGGTTAAATGCATGCTCATATGGTTTCCACTGCTCCATAGAGCCTGGTCTTAAAGCAAGTGATTATGTTTGAACTGCTGTTTGGAGCTTAATGAGAAGGAGCTGCTCTACTCGCCAGTCATGCCAGTAAAGTAACCGCAAAGAGGGAAAATAAGACAGACAGACAGACAGACGCGAACGCACAAGTCAGAAAGGCCAGCAGGGGCAAAAACAAATGAGTCACCTTGTCCCGAACTGAGAGCCAGAAATTAATTTGAGCTAATAAACTATAGTCTGCTGTGCTCGGGTTCACACAGGAGAGCTGCCGTCCTTCCTCTCTGACTTTTCGTGCACCTTTTCATGACTCTATAAGCTGATGTTTCTGCCCAACATGCATATTCATTCTATGAGGCACATTCCAGCTCAGTGGGAAAATTACATGGTGCACACATAATAAAAAAAGAAAAAAAAGAAAAAGATTATATCTGATCTCTTTCCAAGTGCTTAAAGGTAAACGGGCTGCTCCCTGCCTTCCCAGGCACAGAGCTGGAACCCATTAAAAGTCAAACCAAAGTTCTATTAAGCTTGGGGTGGGGGGGCAGAAGGGGGCAAGGGTGGTCTGAATATCCATAAACATCAAGTGTTTAAAGAACATTAAAGCTCAATGTATTGCTCCTGGAACTAGATGGAGGAAAACATGGGAGTATTTGCTGAAGAGGACTCGTAAAATCCCTCCACAGAGTGCCATCGTTTCTAAAAACGTAGCTACAGTCTAAAAACAAACATCCCGACAGCCAGTAGCTCAGCTCCGCTACCCTGTTTTACTTACCTGTCGAGTCTCTGGTGTGCGCCAGGTCATGTAGGCCCCTGTAGTTGCACATGTCATCATGGCAGCACTCCAGTGTTGCCGCCCTGCTGAGAGCATCCAAGGCCCTTTGGCTGCTGCAGACGTCCGCAGCATTGGCAATGGGGTCTAAACACCCATGGGTGAGTGGAGAGTTGGCGTTGAGCGGGTCCAGCACCTTGGTGAAGCAGGCGTTCAGCTCTGATTTGCACATGTATCCGGTGGCCACACAGTGCGGCGCATCACAGTAGCACCTAATTTCTCCTAAAAGTGGGGAAAAAGGCAGCGTTAGGGGAACCTGTGCTGACATTAATCCGCTCAAGGTTTCAGAGTCACCATGGCTATTTTGTCTTTAACGTCCAACCATGTGAATATAAAACTCGTATAGTTTGCAGCTGATTTTCTCCGTGTTTTTATCAAACTCATGCTGGCTTCTATTTTACACCAACTGTAGTTCAACTTTTCCCATAGTGGTATACCCTGCTTTTATTTTGAAGTACTGCTCTAAAAGTATCTGTTAAGCCCTGCATTAAACAACCTGGTAACTTTTGAAGAGATCACGGGATTTTTTTTTACCTGTTCACCTGTCACACCTTCATTTAAGAGCATCCCGTTTAAATGGTTCTTTTTCTTTTTTACCTGCAAACTTTCTCCCCCATCCAAAGTTTGCATGCAAAATTGCCTGGGGGTATTGGTATGGGTGTGGTGGTTGGGTGCGGGAGCTCTGAGGTCCCATCTAAGGAGCCTCCAGCAACCTTATCATTAAGGCAACCTGCTCTTACACGGGCCCACTCATTACTTCATCCAGGGCTCCTTTCTCAAAACAGAAATCTGGGCCAAGGATCTGCCCGAACAAAACAGAACCACTGAAACACATATTTATCAACTTAGTTTGCCTTTGATGCCCTCTGTTACTGTTATTATTATAAGTATAAGGACCACTGCAGGACGACCAATGTAAATGTCATTTCACATACTCCGTGACTGCTTTATTTTGAGGAAAATTATCAGAGCTCCACATATAAAGACTTCCCTTAAGCTTTTATGTGCTGGACTCAGGAACAAAACCTGGAATGAGAGAGCTAAAAAGCCCGAAAGTCGGTGACTGCACCAACTTAGCAGCGCAGGAACACATTCATCAGATCAGTGTTTTCCCTGTGAATGATTGGAGCGGTGGGGCCCAGGCAGGTCATTTGGAGAATATTTCATTAGAAAGGAGAGGCCCTTTGTGGACTGAGGGGGTGGTGGCGGGGGGAGTACTGAAGCTTTTCTAGCCCTGCTAAGTCTCGTATGAATGGCAGCTACAACATTAGTGGAGTTATTAAGTGTAGCCTAGCAGCTAAGAACTGTATTACACACTTGAGGATTAATCACAGTGTATTACTATTATATTAATAAGAGTGCATAGAGGTTAGGTCTTATTAAAAATTAGGTTTTAACTGAAAAAAGGTATGTCATGCCTTCAGGAAAAAAAAGAATAATAATGAGGGCAGAGGTAGTTATTGTTGTTTCCGCTGGGTTTTTTTTAAAGGGGAGGTATGACTGAATAAAATTAACTGAAATCTGAAGACGACTGGAAGAATAATATGTTTATTACGAAAAAAAACCCAGTAATAAACAAACGCGTTTATGGTTCCCCTCATTGGTAAAGTACGACTTTATGACCAAATGTTAAATCATTTTCTTGCTAATTATGACGGGTTTTCCCCGCAAACACTGGCGCGAGCGTAAGCTGCCCCGCAGAAGCCTGGAGCCGTCGACTGAGGGTTAAGTTCAGCCTCGTTTTTATCGCTTCAAAACACTGTATATCCTCTTTTGAAGAAGCCAACAAACACGCATCAAAGTCCACACGTACCTTTGGTCAGAAGAACGGCCATGGCACAGAGTTCCAATTGTAGCCAAATGGAAATGAAACTGGACTGGCGATCCATTTACACCAAATTACTGCACAAGAAGAGTCCTCATATATCCAGTAGCAGCAGCAGAAGAGTCCGCTGGGCAGAAAGCAGCGCGAGAAAAAAAAGATTTACATGAAGCTATGGCGAAAAATGAAGCCTTCGTGGGGTCGGAACGCGGTAGCTCACGATCCTGACTGGAACACCAAAGAAAAAGGGGGAAAAAAACACCCCAAAATGTCTCCTCTCCCGCATGGAGCCACCGAGACCCTCGCGAATTTGTTACCGGAGCGCACAAAATACAGCAGCCTCTTCTTCAAGCCCAGAAACAAAAGAAAAGATATATACTCCGTTGAACAGAGTGAAACCGAGTCATAAAGTTGTCAGTGCTGGTCTTCATCTGTCTCGCTCTGCAGCCGGTCACGTCGAAGCATCACTTTTGTATTCCACGACTGAGAAACAAACACTAAACACGGACAACTCCGCTGTGCCAAAGACTACAAGGGACAGGCACGATCGAGCAGAAATAGCTGTGGTCAGTCAGAGCTCCGCCTCCTCTAATCTGATTGGCCAGCCTACCGAGAAAGAAGTTAGTGATAGGACGTACAACAAAGCATCCGGTGGCTCTTTTCAAAATAAGGCAAAAAATATAAAGTATTTTAAAAAGGAAAGTACTATTAAAAAAAGAAGAGAATGAGAAAAATTAAGATATTAAGATAAATTATATGAATAAATTCTATGTATAAATTACATGAAATGGACACTAAACATAAGGCATGTTTTATTATCGATCTATGTAAAACAAATGGGATCTCCTATTATTAGTGCATTACTAAATAAATAAGCAGATGCAGTTACACTGGTAATGGAAGGATAATGTTAACAGAAAATTTTAATGTTACGCATCGTGCCATTAATATGTTAAAACTTAAACACTATACTTAAAAAAAACCCATAGCATTCTTTTAGATTTTTTTTAGGTTTTGCACAGTCATCTTGAGGAATTATTATTATATGATTTATTTTCTCCTAATGTTCCAATCAGGTAGCCCCTGAAGATTTATTCTCTAGACATAATCAACTTGTTTCCGGTCTCACACTGCTTATTCTTCTGTAGCTTGATCACTCTGAAGCTTTCATTCATCGTTCTTTATTTCCATAATAAAGTATCCCATTTATCAGTAGTGGATGCCATTGGTCCGGGCAGCAGTCACTCCAGCAGGTTAACAGCTGTCCCGCACACAGTCATACTGTCGCCTGATGATAATGCAGGTCTTGGACTATTATCTGTGTTTTCAACGTTATGGGTGCAGCCGATATGTGATGTAATCCTCCCCACTTTTTTCCAAATTTGGATGATATAAATTACCCAAAACTTACCCAAGAGTACTGACAGATTCTTCATTGAGCACAAGTAAGTGCATTGTAAAACAGCCGTGTGTGCAGTGTGGACAGTCGCAGATACCTGCAGGGTGATCCCGATGGCAGCCAGGTTGACGCCACGATGAGCCTCTCCCCTTCAGGCCATCACACTGCTGCTGCTGCAGGAAAGAGCGGACAGTCAGAGAAATTAGCAATCCAAAAAAGCACATGGCGCCACCGAGACGGCTTGCGCACACACACACACCCTGGACGCACGCACACAGTACACATTTACCCATTAACAACCGACAATGCAAAACATAGGTGTGCGCGCAAGCTTCATCCGCAGATGGTGTCTGTATTAAAAAAAGAAGAAGAAAAAGAAGAAGAAACAAACAAACAGATGATGCGTGTTAATAATCTCACGCATTTGTTAAGCATGCTTTCATTCATGTAATGACTCATTAAGCGCAGAAATAAAACATCCGCAGGCGGTTTGCGGCCAACAGACAACAGGAGGATACTGCCTCAGGCAACACAGGAGATCACACACACACACACACACACACACACACACACACACACACACACACACACACACACACACACTGCTATTAAAGTAATTATCTGCAATTCCACAGAGGCGCCAGTCCACGGCTGGCGTTACATCATTTATCTGTAACTGTGGAGTGCGTGAAATGGGTGCAACGGGACAAAGGTAGTAGTTCAGAATTCTGGAAGCTTTATTCATCTGAAGTCCTCGTAAAGTTTGTGATGCTGGGCAGAAATGCTAAGGCACCTCTTCTCCCCATGAAGTGCTGTTTCTCTGACCTTAACTCCTGCTAACAAGAAACATGAGAAATTTTCGTTTTCAGTCAAATATGAAGGAAAATTCACCTTTAATATCCCAGCTGCATTATTTCCCCCTACTTAAAGTCTGTCTGTACTTGTGCTTGATGGATAACTATCATCCCCTGGTGGTCGAAGCTGTTAAGGACAATTTTACGTAACAAAGTGACAGTGCCCTAAACAACGTAGGCAGTTTAGTGGTTCACACATTTGCTTCAAAAGCCGAAGGTCGAATTTCGAGATATTAAAGGTACTTTTTGTAATTACCTTCAGACAATTTAAATAAAACTTCTACCATCAGCTGTAGTAATTTACCCTGAGGGCTGAAATGTTTTTGGATGTTTGTTGCTATTCTTTTAACTTTTACTACTTCTTTTTGGATTTCTAACAACAACAACAACAACAACAAAAACAACAACAACAACAACAACAATAATAAGAAGAAGAAGAAGAACAACAACAACAATAATAATAATAATAATAATAATAATAATAATAATAATAATAATAATAATAATAATAATCTGCTCTTAATGGCTTGGCTGGTAAAATAAAAAAATATACTGACTCACTTGCACATGTTCTTCACATTCTGTTTATGGCTTTTGTTAATTTTGAAAGGTTTTAAAAATGTAAAAAAAATTAGTTTCCAGTAAGTACCTTTAAGGGTTAGTCTTAATTAAACCTATTCAACAAGCTCTGAATTCTACATTTCCATAGAAGACAGATGGAGTTGTGTCTGTTTGCATATAGCAAGTTGGATTATACCAATGCAGAGACTACAACGACATCTGATGGGGAGGGGGGGGGGGGAGAAAAGGGAGAAACAAGGAATCACTGGTCATCATTACCATGTAAAGAACAAATGCTGATTGGTTTGGAAGTTTAAGAGGAAAGGGAGTGAAGCACTTACAAGTAGAAAGAGTGTGAAACGGAGAGTTTTAATTGTCTATGTATAACCTGTGAGAGTCTATTTAGTAGCATAAGCTGCCTCATACATAACCAGGGAGGTGTACAGCAGGGTTTCAGAAGGGTTTGGAGTAGCTATGGTATTTAACACAAAAGCATAAATCTTGTTTCAATTTCCCTCTAGTACAGGAAAACATTCACATTTAGTGGCTAAGTCAAATAGCACAAACACACAGAAAGAGCAGGCCACATCACCAGATGTTCCACATATTTTTGACACAGCCCCATGCTGACAGTACACAGCTACAACATGTAAACATGATGTCTGCAAAGCTCTGCATAGCACCCATCCTGCTCTGTTTATAAGGGTCTCAGGGGGTCTGGAGCCTGTCCCAGCTACCATAGAGTGAGAGGCAGGGTAAACCTTGGACAGGTGTCAGTTTGATGCAGGGATAACACAGAGAGACTATTTGCACTCACATTCATACCTATGGGCAATTACCAATGAATTGCATGTCTTTGGACTGTGGGAGGAAGATGGAGTACCCAGAAAAAAACCATGCACACACAGCTATAGTTACGTCCATAAATATTTAGACAGAATCATTTTTGTTTTTTCTAATTTTGGTTCTGTAAATTACCACAATGAATTTTAAATGAAACAACTCAGATTTTCAGGACTAAACAAAAAGACTGCATGAAATTGAGAGGTACTAAATCATTTTTAACACCCCCCCCCCCCCCCCTTCATTTTAGGGGCTCAAAAGTAATTGGACAAATGAAATAAATGAAATTATGTAATGTCAACTTATAATACTTTGGTTGAAAACCCCTTGCCGGCACTGACAGACTGCAGTGTTGAACTCATGGACATCACCAGATGCTGGGTTTCCAACTTTTAAATGCTCTGCTAAGCCTTTACTCCAGTGGCTTTAAGTTGCTGTTTGTTTGTGGGCCTTTCTATCTGAAGTTTAGTCTTCAACAAGTAAAATACACGCTCATCTGGGTTAAGATCAGGTGACTGATGTGATCATTCAAGAGTAATCCACTTCTTTGCTTTAATAAACTCCTCGGTTGCTTTGGCTGTATGTTTTGGGTCATTGTCCATCCATATAATTAAACACCACCCAATCAGTTTGACTGCATTTAGCTGGATTCGAGCAGTATGTCTCTGAAAACCACACAATTCAATCAGCTGCTTCTGTCCTGTGTCACATCATCAGTAAACACTAGTGTCCCAGTGCCACTGGTAGCCATGCACAACCAAGCCATCACACTGCCTCCGTCGTGTTTTACAGATGATGTGCTACTCTTTGGATCGTGAGCTGTTCCATGGCTTCTCCATACTTTTTCCATCTGTCCAAAGAATTTGGTGGCTTTTTGAGATGTATTTTAGCAAAGTCCAATCTAGTCTTTCTATTCTTGAGGCATATGAGTTGCTTGCACCTTGCAGTGAACTGTCTGTATTTACTTTCATGCAGTCTTCTCTTTATGGTATACTTGGATAATGATACCTTCTAGAGAGTGTAGTTCACTTGGTCGGCCATTGTGAAGGGGTGTCTCTTCACCTTGGAAATGATTCTGTGATCATCCGCCACTGTTGTCTTCTGTGGTCATCCAGGTCTTTTTGTGTTGGTGAGCACACCAGTCTTTCTTTCTCAGGATGTACCAAACTGTAGGTTTTGCCACTCCTAATATTGCAGCAATTTCTCGGAGCTGTCTTTGAAGCTCAAGGATGGCTTGTTTCACCTGCATGGAGAGCAGGTTTGACCGCATGTTGTCTGTTTACAGCAAATTCTTCCAAGTGCAAGCATCATACCTCAAATCAACTCCAGGCCTTTGATTTACTTAATTGATATTGACACAACCAAGGAATTACCCACACATGTCCATGAAATAGCTTATGAGTCACTTGTCCAATTACCTTTGGTCCCTTTAAAAAAGAAGCTGCACATGTTAAGGAGCAGAAACTCCTAAACTCTACATCCAATTTGAATTTGGATAGCATCAAGTGAAAGCTGAGAGTCTACACATTATATCCATGTCCATTATGTAACTATAATTGGTTTACGTTTCAGTAGGTCTTGATAAACTTTAAAAATTTATCAAGACGTATATGTTATACATTGTAAATAGTGTGGCAGCTTTGGTTGTTCATAGCTGTTCATATACAGTCTATGATCCAGACCTAGGCCAAGATAATCCTAATGAGATCACTATAGCAACAGCTAGGCATTTCATAATTGGTTATATGCTTTATACATGGATGTGGGGGTGTCAGAAGTGAGCTGTGAGAGGTGCTGTTGTGAGCTTGTCCCCAGCCCCCCACACAGTAGCAGTAAGAAAACAAAACTGTGTGTCTTCTCCTGCAGAGAAGGTGCGCGTCAAAGGGATTT